CAGCAACCGGTCTGATTCCCGTCGTTTAGTCACTCTCTCCAAGTCATCGAGGGCGACATGGGTACTTGTCTGAATTTCGAATCGCTGATCCGCCAACGCTTTCCGGCAGGCCACAACAAAGAGGCTCTTGATAATGTGTTGAACCTTCCTGGCCTGTCACACACACTATGGAATGTGGCCAGTAAGGTATTGAGTCACCACTGGGGTGATCCGAATGATTCATCAGATACTGGCTTGCATCGCACTGCTGCTGCTCTCGGAATGAAGACCGATAAGCAGCCATCCCAGCAAGATTTTAACTCGTTAATGCAAGTCATTCACAAAGGTCACACCGCAACAATGGTGTTCCTCTTGAAGTATGTACGGTCTTTCTTATCTCTTCGACACAAAGATCTCTGACTTTGCTGTACTACTACAGACAAACTCTTGAGTCTGAGTCCGAAGACGTGCAATTTGATACGCCCGGCGTATCTCAAGCGATGATTGACAGGTGTTATAATAGGTATTTCACTCGCGAAGCTTTGCAAAAAGCTTCGAAAGCTGGTGATTGGACCATCTACAACATGCAGCTACGTTTGCGTGACTTTGCTAGCATCGTCGAGTGTGATCAAGCTATGAGGGCAGGGGACATCGGGCGAGTGATGTTGATGTGGAAGAAGTGGGCGGTGATGGCTCAGGGGGTGTCCGGCCTTTCTCATTACGCTATCCACCTCCCACGGTTCATCTTGATTCTGGAACAGTACTTACCTAAGAATTTCGCCAAAGCCATCAAACACTCTCTTCTCATTCCTACCTCTGGCTGAGTTGGACACTGGGTAGCCAAAGATTTCTATCTTGAGATACAAAACTATTGGCTCAAGTACTTTTTCAACAACTCGGTACGCGCTCATTAAGTATTTGCCTCAAACTTTCCGATAGCTGACTCATTTTATGAATCCGACCAAAGGGCCAAGGTACCAAGATTGACCGGCTGATGTCTCGGTTCTCAATCATTATTCCTTTGGTGAGTCAGTTTGATGACACCATCATTGTAATTCTATTCACGTTTGCTGATCCTGTCAATGTATCATAAGCTACGCAAACAAATCCAACAAATGAAAGAGCGCTCTGGCCTGAAGGAGATATACCAGTCAAATCCACATAACATCACACCTGCTTCGCTACAGTCATTCTTAACCATGGCTCAGAATCACATGTGCGATGTAGAACTATCTAACAACAACAGACCTACAGATGACAATGATGAGGTGGATGACATCGAATTGCTTGGCATAGGTAAACTCAAAAAGATACTCAAAGAGGAGGCCAGGAAAAAGTTACCTTCTCGATTCATTTGGGGGTCTATGAAAGAAAGGAACACCGGGATCGATGAGTTAGTTGGATCGGATGATGAGGACTAGGTGGAAGCATCCCCCAAACAGTACTTACTACACTTAAAAGCTCTTCTTGACGCTGTCTCAGCTTTTCTTCCTTCGCTCTTTGTTTGTCAATGGCTTTTTGTAATCGAATTCGTTTTCGTTCGGCGATTCCAGCCTTTTTGATATCACTTTCAATTTGTTTAAGTCTCATTTGCTCTTGATGTTCCTCTTCGATAAGATTGGAATCCAAGATCGCTTGTTCTTGCCTGATACGCTCATCTTCCAGATCTTGTTGATACTTGTGATACACAGGCGACTTGATCCACGAATGAATACTATTGCGCACTAAAACGAAATGACCGGGAAGAGTCTCACCCCCGAGAATCTCGCGTAAAAATGTTCCGTTTTTGACAGCCTCATAATTTTTGACCACTTGCCAGGCCTCTTCGCGATCAAACAACGCTGACAGATGCATATGTGATCCATTCGGATACGTGGCCTGAAAAAGACCCTCGAATTCGCCCACCAGGATGACAGCCAGGTCAATCATGGCAAGACTGAGCCGGATCGGGTCGTTCCGCTTGCACACCAGTGGTATGTCGCCGGAGAACTTGCGCTTGGTAATCTTCTTGGGCATCGAGAACAGACTGACATCCTCAGGCTGTTCTGGTGAAGAGGACATGAGAGTTCCGAAGTCTGAGTGTTTGGTGGTAGGAAGTAAGCGAAGAATACGCGCGCAACCATGAGGATCGCATTGTGAACATTTACAAGGTCGCATGTTCATAGCGGTTTGGCGTGAGATCTCGTTGAGATAGCCAGGATCCGAAAGATCAACTGGTATGTAACCTTTCCTGTCATCTCGGAACAAAGACACAGTTCAGCCTCCCAGTGCAAGGTTCTTTCAAATGTAAGTGACTCACAGATTATCCACTGCATAGGCGACTCAAAGACAACAAGGTGTGACTCGAAACGCATGCATTCGATCTTCGTTGTCCATGTAGGCACTTGGTCTGAATTCGCGCGGTGAGTTCTTTCCCGGACTCATGTTGGGCTGGACCAAATGAATTACCAGGCCATCGCTTCCATCACGGCCGGCACGCCCGGCCATCTGATTTGACTCCGCTGGGTCCATTGCCCCCATAATTATCACAACCTTCACACGGGTCCAATTCTGACCCAGTCCAAGAGCAGATGTACATGACAGGATTGGAAACGTAGCTTGGCCGTAATCTTGGACCCGAGTTAACTGGTCCATTTCGCCAGTGACTGAGTGATACCGCCGTATAAATGAACTATTGCCATTACACGCGTCAACTGGGTTTCCCCGTGCTTTACAGACCACGTCAATGACCACCCCGGTCGCATTACGAGTTCCCAAATATATCAAGGTCGGAGTTGAGTCTTCATCCGAGAGAACCGAAGCTGGAGCGAACAGCGAGGCCACATCCTCAGCTGACTTTAAAGGCCGAGTGAGATAGATCCTGATGAAACGATTCTCGGGTCGCGTCAACTCGCCTTGGATGACGGTCATGTTCTTCGGGATGATCTTCAGGCTTGACTGTATAGCACTGATTGCAGATGGTCGACAGGTCGCAGACATGAGCAGGAGAGGGACCCCATCGGTGGCCATCAGCTGCTGACCGAGATTGCCGTAAGAAGGCCTAAACTGGCCAACATCTTCAGGTACAACATGTTTCGAAAGCCCTTGCATTTTGCCGGTAGCCTGAAGTCCCCAGAGATAGATGCAGTGGGCTTCATCGACTACTTTCAAGACCAGATGTCGCTGACAGTCTTTACTATGATACACGCTTTGAAATGCCTCGCTATTTAGAAAGATCTCTGGACTCTGTTTGCAAACGTACAGAAGTCAGTCTCTGACAAATCCCAAAAGC